AAAACTAAATTTATTACCCTGTTTCTTTTTCCCTGTCCTATACTCAAATCTCACCTACATACACATATACACACACAGAGTCTGTGCATGTGCGCCCACACACGGGCACGCACACACCCCATTCTCCAACCTAATCCTGTGTAACGTCATTTATCAATATTCATTGTGAGCTCCATCCCAACAAATGCTGGACTGAGTGTGGAGATGTGCTGTGAGCAGTTTAGGCAAACTGCTATTTCCTAGTGCTTGAGATAGCAGGTAATTATTTTTGTAATGCATAAATAGCTATTGTGATGGTCAATGTAGTTTTTTTTAATATATTTTAATTCCTGAGAGCACTTTCTTCCACTCTGTTGTCTCAAAGCCCAGCCCCTGTCTTAAGGATTGAAAGTGGGCTTTAAGACGTGAGGAAGCCCCAGAAGGGATGGAGTTTGCTCAGGCCAGTCCTCTCCTTGGAAGATTCCTCAGTTTTTGTGAGCTAGTGCACTCTCCTGCACCCCTGTTGGAAGCTGAGTTGTGCTCAGCACTGGGTCTTAGGGGTAAGGTGGGACTTTTTTTTCTCTTGGAGCCCCAGTTTTCTGCCAGTGGGCTGCCAAGCTGGACACACGAGGAACACCCAGACACCCAGCTCAGACCCTTACATGCATGACTGCATCCCTGATCCCCATGGCAGACTTGCTAGGTTCAACCACCTCCCCAGAAAGCCTGTTTGGAAACACTAGACCAGTGGTGCCGGACCTACGGTATGAGAGCTACTGCGGGCTGTTTGTGTCATTGAAAGCTCTAAAAGTTTTGCCACCACTGCCCTATGAATTGTGTACTTTACCACCCCTGCTTCCCAGAACATCATGTCTAGTTTTTCCTCTACCAGAATGTGAGCTCTTTGGAAGGTGAGAATTTTAATTTATTTGCCATGATTTTTCCTATGGTGCCTGGCATACTGCAGGCAAATACAAAATATTGGTCAAATCGATGAGTAAAGCGGTGCTAGGAACCAAGCACACTGTCCTTTGGGAACCCATCTTCCCCAGTGTCCCCTGCCTACTGCAGCTGCTGTTGGCTGCAGCCTCCTGCTGGCTGCACCATGCTGCTGTGACCACTGTGTGTAACCTCCATTCCCCATCCTCAGCACTGCGGCATGGTACAGTTGCCATAGCTTTGGCTGTTCTATACAGCTGTGGCAGTCATGTCTCGCTGGACTTGGCTAGCTCAGCTGTGCAGGAGACAGGGAGCCGCATCTTCCCCTTGAGGGTCCCTTGGCCTGGAAGTATGTGAACTGGCAGTTTGGAGCCCAGGCATGTCCACTATTGCATTTGGATTAGGTTTCTTTATCACAGTGTGGGGCCAAGGACTTGGAACTGAAAGTGACATAGCAATCACTACTCATGAGATAAAAACACATTGTTCTTATTTCAGAGAAATCTTTCAAAGACTCAGGTCCTCCAGGCTGTGAGTGGCAGTGCTGGCATTTGCTGCCATGTCCCCTGACCTCAGCCCTGAGGCTTTTTTCCTCACTCTGCAATGGAAAGTACCTCGGAAAGGGGAGAGAGATTAATTTCTTTATTTCCAAAAGCTGATCACTGGGACACTGTTGGGAGGAGGGAGGAAGGATGATGCTCACTTGTTAGCTACTTTTAAAATTTCTAAATATTAGCCATACACAGTAAACACATTCACTTTGGGGAACTGGTGCATATACAGGTTGCATCTTAATCATTTTTATTTCTCCTTCCCCTCTGCCTACTTTTGCATTCCATTTGTTGTTGTTACTGAGAAATAGACGGGAGCTTGGGAACATTGATGGAGTTCAGCAGATTTCTATGGAAGACGCTCTCTCCCGCCAGGACGTTGAGGTTGCCTACATCTGCAGTGAAAGTGCCAGTCACGAGGACCACATCCGGTAGGTTTTTCCTGCTACTATCTTTGCCTTGCGTGGGTGAAAATGACCGCACAAGCTCAAGACATTCACATAGATGTTGGTAGTCAAGGGGGAAATTCTGATCACTCTATGGCTTTAAAACTTGTTATCAGGGAGGAGTGTAGTGCCGTGGTGGAGTACGTGTCTAGCATGTGCAAAGCCCTGGGTTTGATCCCCAGTACTGCTAAAAAGTTTGAAAGTAATGGTCAAAATATTACAAACATTCTTATTGTCAGTTATTTCTATGGAAATGAAAATCATAGGTAAACATTTATTTATTTAATATACTATAGTTTGAAATATTAGAAACGTTAAGAATTATATCTTTTTGTGTGTGAAAAACTCAGTAAGAGACGTTTGAACAGAGCTACCTCCTTGTGACACAACTTAGGGTATGGAGTCCCAACATTTGACCTTTGCACTTTCAATGTTGTGGACTGTCTCTGATAGTCCTTTTATTAGGATATGATTTTTCATGAGGTAAGTGCACCAGGGCATAGTTGTGTCATTGAAGACAGGATGACACTTTGTAGAACAGCAGGGGAAAGCAGTGGCCCGTTCCCACCTCCTGAATGTGAAGCCCAGAGCTCCTCTAGCATCTGCTGGGCTCTGATGCAGGAGGAGGAGCACCAGGGGGACCTGGCACCAGCAAGGAAGAGTGAGCCGGGGGCAAGTCATGGCTTCTCCTCCAGGTTCTCACACTAGGCCACAGCTGCCACCACCTTGCTGTGGCCAGAGGGGACCCCACTGTTCATCAGTCTAGCTCTGGAGTGGATAAAAACTCTCCTTGCACCAGAGTAGGTTTCTTTAAAATAAAAAGCAATCGTGTAACTCTCTGCTCATAAGTGCTTGTACCCTCTTGTCAAGATCATAAACCCAGACTCCCGACAACAGTCTAGGTCTTTTGCAGTTGGTCCCCAGCTGCCCTTACAGCCCTGTTTCCTCCAATCTCTGCAGCCGACTCCCATGCCACACAGAAATTTGCAAATAGACAAAGCCCCACAAAATGCCCAAGCCCTTGCACCTGCTACTAAGAGTTGCCCTTGCAAAGCTCCTCCTCATCTTTAGAGACCCAATTCACTTGTCACTGGTGAAATCTGTCAGACTGCTGCAGTCAGCACTAACTGCCATGGGATCTGTAGTCTTTAAGTAGTAACAAATAATTTATTTGTTAATTCGTTAATTTTCTAGAGTAACTGGTAAATAGGAGTAAATAGCACTTAGTTGAAAAAAATAACTGGATGAATATTCAGATTAATATGTAACTAGAACATTGTTCCGTCACGGGAGAGTGCAGAATAACATGAGGTGGGACTCTTCCTCCAAGTCATCCGCCTTCATCCTGACGCCTGCGCACACAGACTCCTGTTCTCCGCCGCTGAGTGTCTTAGTGAAGCTTATTCCAAGTGTTCTTTCTCTGTACTTTGCTCTTTTCCCACAGGCAGTTCCTCAGCGCTGGCAAGCACGTCCTTGTCGAGTACCCCATGACACTGTCTCTGGTGGCAGCTCAGGAGCTGTGGGCCCTGGCTGAGCAGAAAGGTGATGTGTGCTCTGTCTGTCTGAGCAGAACCTCTTCCAAAGGGTTTCTGCTCCGGGCTTGCTTCTTTCTTATGTCTTTTCAGTCCTAACCCCATTTCAGACACACTACCCTGGCTAACCTCGTGTTCTGGACTCCTAATTCCTTCCCAGCCCATGCTGTAGCACACATGGAGGGGTACAAGGTAGGCAGAGGGGTGAGTGGGCTTTGCAGACCTTTGACCAAGGCTTATTATCTACTCCTGTAATGAAAAAATATAGATTCATTTCTACTTGTGCTAGGGTCAGAACACATGACACTGATTTTGTTAATGGAAAAATGCCCCAGTCTGAGTAATTGTATAGACATCATACCTTTTATTGTTTCATGAAGGGAATGACACATAAATGTGTGCTATATGTCAGGAACTTGGAAACTGTTTTAAGCACTTCATATTTTGAATCCTAAGAACCCTTGGCCCTGGGTATTCCAGTCTACTTTCTGTTGCTATAACAGAATACCTGAGTCGGGGTAATTTATAAAGAAAAGAGGTTTACTTAGTTCAGAGTTCTAGAGGCCAGAAGTTTCAGATCAGGGGGCTTCTCAGTGGCTTTTGGTGAGGGCTGCTCCATGCATGCAGAAAAGAGAAAGAAAGGTTGGCACAATCAAAGAGAGAAGGGGTGAACTCTTACCAGAGCTGATTCTATTCTGTGAGAGCCAGAACTCGCTCATGTGAGGTTTTATCCACTCACAGGACTCAGACACCTCCCACGAGGCCCCACCTCCCAACACTCCTACTTTGGGACTAAGCATCAACAGTTGGTAGGGACAAGTGATATTCAAACCCGATGTAGCAGCAGGGATTTTTCTGTAGCTTATGTATAGAGAACCATAGCTCAAAGATGCTAAGTAATTCATGCAAGGCCATTGAGCTAATAAAACATGGCTGCAACATGTGAGGTAGAAATTAGAATCCAACACTGATAGCATGACTATCAAGTGGGAGGTGGAGTGGGGCATGGTGGCACACACCTGTAATCTCAGCACTTGGAAGGCTGAGGCAGGAGGATGGTTGTGAGTTCGAGACCAGCCTTGGCTACAAAGTGAGCCCAAGGCCAGCCTGAACTGCATAGTGAGACCCTGTCTCAAAAAGGAAAAAAAAAAAAAAAAAAAAGGGTGAAGAGTATCCCACTGTGTATATCCCAATAGTGAGCTTGTTGGATTATGTAATAATTTTGTTTTGTAATAGTTAGAGGACTGTCCATAGTGTTTTCCATAATGGTTGTGCTGTTTACATTCCCACCAACAGTGTATTAGGTAAGACTCTCCCAGTCTGTACGTTGTCCCTTCACTCTATTGATGTTATGCTGTGCAGAAGCTACCCTGTTTGATCTAACGCCACTTGTCTATTCTTGCTTTTCTTGCCTGTGCTTTTGTGGTCTTATTCAAGAAATTCTTTCCCAGTCGTATATCATGAAGCCTTCTCCTAAGTTTTCTTCTAGTAGCTTCATAGGTTCAACTCTTAAAGTGCAGTCTTCAATCCATTTTGAGTTGCTTATTGTAACTGGTAAGAGATGGGGGTCTAGTTTTATTCTTCTGCATGTGAACATCCAATTGTCTCAGCATCATATATAAAGAGACTGCCCTTCATGATTTCTTGGGTATGAAACTAAAAGCACAGAAAAAATGCAAATGGGCTACAGTAAAACACCTATGCATAAAAAACCATTAAAAAGAGTGAAAAGGCAATGGTATGGGTGAAGATATTTGCAAATCACATCTTTGAGAAGCAGGTAATATCTAGAATATCTAAGGAACTCTACAGCTCATGAGCAAGTCAAATAACCCGATTAAGAAATGGGTAAATGCTATAGCATCATTGTTCTCTGGGTTTTTATTGTTTTCTTTTACGTTCTTTTTTTTGTTTTTGAAATAGGGCTCACTATATAGTCCAAGCTGGCCTCAAACTTGCAGTGATCCTCTTGACTTGATCTCTTTTGTTTGTTTGTTTTTTGTTCGCTTTTTGGCTTTTTGAAGCATGATCTCACTGTTTAGCTCAGGGTGGCCTCAAACTCACAGTAATCCTCCTACCTCAGCTCTCCTGAGTGTACGGATTACAGGTATGGACCACCACATCCATCACTGTTGTTGAACAAAATTTAACAAAAAAAGTTATATTAGTGGCAGACACACACATGAAAGGATGCTCAACATCACTAATCATTCAAGAAATGCAAACCCAAACTGCAAGGGGATGCCATTCATATGTGTTATGATAGTCACTGTCAATAGCCACAAAACCAGTGTTGATGAGGATTTGGAGAAATTGGAACACTTGATAATGGGAATAATGGGAATGTTAAACAATGCAGCCACTGTGCAAAACATGGAGAGTCTTCAGAAAATTAAAAATAGAATTATGTGGGTATATGGCAAAAAAGAATTGAAAGGAAGATTTTCAAGAGGCATTTGCACATTTATATAAAAGCATTGATCAGAATAGCCAAGAAGAAGAGGCAAGAAATGCCCATTAATGGATTAAGGGCTGAAGAAAATTAGTTTGTACATACAGCAAAATATTATGCAGCCTTAAAAAAGAAGTAATTACATCACATGGGTGAACCTTAAGGCCATTATTCTAAGTGAAGCAAAACAATTACAAATAAGACAAATGCTATATGATTTTACTTGTGTGAGGAATGTAAAGTCGTCAAACACAGAAATAGAAATTAGAGTAGTGAGTGTGAGGGTGCGGTGGGCAGGGGAAGAAGGGAGGGTTGCTAAACGTGCAGCGTTTCAGTTTCGCAGAGTAGAAAAGTTGTAGAAATCTGTTGCACAGCAATGTGAAGATAATTAACATTATTAACTTAAAAATGGTTAATGTGATAAATTTGGGGGTCTCTTTTATTAACTCACACTGTCATTACTAGATACACCTATACTGCATGATTGTTTTTTTAAGAAGGGCAAGTGCAATCAAAGTGGAACTGATCAAATTTGACCTAAAATGGAATACTGATGCAGAGTAATTCGAAGGGTGTAAATGCAACCCTATTAAATAAACAGTCTGGGAAGTCAAAATATGTATCAGAGAACCTTAAAATATTTAGAGCTTTTGTAAACGTTATTGTACTGAAATATGTAGAAAGCTTTTTGTATGTACGTATTCACAATAACATTATTTATAAGAGCAAAATATAGTAAATTTGGAGTCCAATAGTAAAAGAATGGTGAATGTAAAGTATGAAGCATTTGATGTATCGCTTATACAGGCTCTAGAAGTTATAAAGATTTTTTTTTTAAGAGAGTAGTAAATGAGAAGCAAGCAAACAAAAAACAGAACAGTAGAAGCATACCAGTCTCATGAACATAAACAAATCAAAGCAAGAACATTCAAAGTGGTACAGGGTCTCAAGACAAAATATTACGAATCAACAGTGGTTGTTACATTACACATCGCTATCCTCAATTACATTGCTCAGATTACCAGATGTAAGAATGAATGATTGCTCAAACCATTAAAGAGAATAGGAAAATAATTCTTCGATAAAACATTAGAGATAATACAGAGCTTCACTAGACAAGATGGCGGGAGTTCACCATTGTCATTCCAGTGCATATTGTTACCTTTAAATCAGTTGCTCAGACCACCAGACACAAGCATGCACAATCGATCAGAACATAAAAAATTGTAAGCATTAACTGTTCATTTCAATACATCCTCAGACATCAGCAATACAGTCATCACAGCTATTCATGTATATTTATATTTTGCATTCCTTCTTTCTTTTTTCTTCTTTCCCTCATCCCAGTTGTTCCTTCCTTTGAGCAGTTTCTTTCAAAGATGTTTATCAACAACAGAAAAGGTACATTTTCCAAGGTTAAATACCAAAGGAAGTTGCAGTTCTGGAGGTGCACGTTAGTTCCATTGTAGAATGTCATTAAGTCTGCGTGTTTCTTCATGATTGGATATGGGATGGGCCTTTTTTCCAGGGAGAACCAGAGAAGCAATGCAGTGTGTTTCTCACATTACATTCTGTGAGGTGGTGTCCAGCTTTAATTTGCCCCGTTACTGGTGATACTGCTTCACGAAGGTGATGTCTGCCAGGCTTTTCCACCGAAAGTCCCATTTTATCTTTGTAACTAAACGATTACTTTGTGGGGAGGGGGTCTGAAACTAGGTGAATATGCAATCTCTTCACTTTTCTAATGATTCACCTTTCACAGACTCCTGCCTTCCTGTTTTTATTCAGTGGGTTGTAATCTGTGACTTTATTTTAGTATTCACTCTGGTATGCAATTCAGATTGGGCCTGCAACATCCTTTATTCTTTGAATATTTATTTTCTGGCACAAAGTGGCTTTGGCACAAAAGTGGGCTCCTCTTGTACATTCTCAGCCTCAGCCCTGGGATCACTAATTTCCCAGTAGGTACCGGTGTTTTGATGCTAAGACTTGGATGCTAGGTGTGTTTATGTCCCCCATGTCTCTTGTGCTTTTAGGTCTCTTCAATGAACCAATCTAGGAATATTGCATATCATTTATGCATGTGTGCACATGTATTGTGGTCGCCATATGTATTTGTCAAAATATAACACTGGGTGACAGAAAACCACAGATGCAGCTAGTTGAAAGACAAAAGCTTCTCTAATAATCACAAATATGGAAAGACTGCTGGAGAGAATGCTGGCTCCCCAGATACAGTCTAGTTTTCTAGACGTCAAGGGGGCCCTCAGATGCTTGGGAAAAACTAACTATAGGAGGAGAAGCTTCTATTCTACTATTGCAAATCATGTTGTGCCACTTAGCTCTTACAAAGCCATTTTGTGTCAGAAAGTTTCTGTTTATACCCCAAAGCTCCCTTTGCTCTCTCTGTGTGTGTGTGTGTGTGTGTGTGTGTGTGTGTGTGTGTATCTGCCCCAGGAACATCTCCTAAGGAGTCATGATTCTGTTTTCAGTGAAACACATAATCACTACACTTCACACTTAATCACAACATATTTGTAGTATTTTTATGATAATTCCAGCCTGGCTAGGAAAAAGCTTCCAGGTCAAAACATTTTTTACAGCTTCCTTAAAGAATCCAAGATTACATTTATGAATGTTAAGGCCTTCTCTTCTTTGAAGGGAGGATCGTTTTATAATCATCTGGTTGTGCCAATCTCTTGAGTGAAGAATCTTGTTAGGTCCTATCCTTAGTCCATACAGGTACTTTTCTTCTTTGCATGACTTAGATTATTTTTGTCTTGCACTGCCCCCTGCTGTTAAGAATATAACTCAACACCCTGCTGCCTCAGGCATGTCTTTGATACCAACTTGCCTTTGGGGACTGGTGGAAACCATCATAGATTTTCATTTCTGTTACAAGCAGAGAGCCAGGGTCACCTTCACTGTGTGTGTGTCATTCTGGCACCTGCCCATGGCATTGTAATTGCTATGTGTCTTGTGCTAGAGGAAGACAGATGTAGCCTTTAGGGTGCACAGCTGGACACATCTGGTGGTGACTGGTTCTTCATTCCATTTTTGTCATGACAGGAAAAGTCTTGCATGAAGAGCATGTGGAACTCTTGATGGAGGAGTTTGCATTCCTGAAAAAAGAAGTGGTGGGGAAAGATCTGCTGAAAGGGTCCCTTCTCTTCACAGGTCAGTTGTGTGCAGGACTGCAGGCTACAGGTGAGGTCGGAGACCAGCCACCCTCTTTCCTAGCGTGGATCCACTTCTGCTAGAGACCTACTGAGTCGGGGCCAATTTTACTGTTTCCATGCTTCTATGGACAATGAAAATATGTATTTGATTTTTTCCTTAAGTGAGATTCACTTGTTTGGATCTTAGGTAAAATATGTATTAGATCTCAGGCATCTTTTCCTTGTGCACCAATCTATTAGGCAGAAGTTTCCCTCATAAAATATTAACAGTTGGAGATTATTTTTCTACAGCAGGTTTTATGTGAAAATTCCTTTAAATGGCATGGGCGGTGGGTTCTTGGAGAGGAGGACATTTCTATACATCTTGAGAACAAATAGAATATACATAGTTCCTTTTCTCCTCCAGGAAGATGCAAGGACAGAAGCTACTGCCATGGTGTTAAAAGCAACGTGTATTTGGCCGATTGCTTCATGGTGGTCATTCTTGAGCAGCTCCACTAGCGACAGGAAATGAGCATGCTGGAGTCCTCCGTTGTTGTGGTCACTTTAGATGACATCTTTTGTCTTAGGGTCACCTTTCCTGAGGGTTTTCATTACAGAAAGTAGACCTGTATGTGGCTGGGCATTGTTGAGTGTTATGGCCACTTTATCTCTTTATGCGTTTGTAGAAAATACAGTACAACCTCATTTCAAGAAGTTGTTATCTTTGAAAACGATGTAAGTTTTGTGGCAATAAGCAATAACGATTAACCTGTACAAGGAACTGTGCTATGAAGGTGACATACATTATCAATGATAATTCCTAGGGCAGACAGTCCTGTAAAGTGGGTAGTTATCACCCTCGTGGTACAGGCAGTGAAACTGAAGTTCATAGAAGGGAGTGGCTTCATCAAGTCACATGGCACTCAGGTGTCAGAGCCTGGTTAAAGTGTGACTATGGGCTTTTGGTGGCTGACCAGTATTCTGTTCAGAGCACTAGAGCACATCATAGATAACCCAAGAGATTGTTTACTAAGTTTGACATTTAGATTCTAGGAATTTCACTCATTTTACTTCTGTCTTTTTTTGTATAGAACATGGTCATTGTTTTAAGTTAATTTCAGTCTTAAAATGTGTCTGGTGTGTAATGCACTGAAGTAAATGTGCATTTATCTAAATTTTGGTTATGTGTAAGATTTGGGCTAGGTGCACAGGAGAGCTATATGTGACCAGATTTCTCAGAGGGACACTCCTTTGAGTGTATTTTTTTTACACACCAGATTATGAAGCCTGAGAAAACACTTCACACTGGATCAATTTTCTGATATTGAACTAGCTTGAAGGAATTTCAGTTGTATGCACCTTTCCAGCTACCACGATGCCTTCCTTCACTTTATTGTCATTTATGCATATAAGCATATAAAATCAGATTTGAGGTGTGATAAAAAAAATATGGCAAATGCTGCTGGCCCAGTGCCACCCGAGGGAAAGGAAGTCTCATAAAAGCATTGTGGTGAGTCCAAATACAGCTTATTCACTGGATCTGGCACCGTGTGACTGGTGCCTCTTCCCCAAGGTACAGGTGGCCATGCAAGGGAAAATGTTCTGACCCGATCCAGGACATTGAGGCAGCCAGAACAGCACATCTATGCACACTTACAAAACAATGACTCCAGAACCGCTTCAGAAAGTGTTAAGAATGATGGGATGTGTGTCCTAAGCGAGGGGATTAATGGCAAGGTGTCTTTTACTGTAATGAATTATTTTTCATTTAAACATACACCATATTTTTCAATCACACCTTGTATGTGTACGTGAATCTAAAGAACATATTAGAATCTTGGAACTTTTTATTATTTTTGCTGGGATTGACTACACTTGCCAGGAAAATTCCTTATTTGTCTAAAATGGAATTTAATAAAGCAGGTGAAAGGGAGACACCTTTGTGAGAGATTCCACTTAGCCTTCTAGACTGTCCTCAGTACTAGCAATGCTCATGCACACCCTGTGGGGCAGCGTCTCCCAGCCCTGTCCTCCCATGGCACTGGGGCTGCTCTTCCTCAGCTGCCCCTTCTTCCCCAAGCCCATGCCCTCTGTGGTTCCCTGCAGCTGGCCCCCTGGAAGAAGAGCGATTCGGCTTCCCTGCCTTCAGCGGCATCTCTCGCCTGACCTGGCTGGTCTCTCTCTTTGGGGAGCTTTCTGTTGTGTCTGCCACCCTGGATGAGCGGAAGGAAGAGCAGTATGTGAAAATGACCGTGTCCCTGGAGACTCAGAACAAATGGTAAGTCATGAGGGACCCTGGAATTGTTAGGACACCCTCCGGTGTCCACGGGGGTGAGTGCAGAATGTCCCTGAGGGCCCACAGTCTGGCTTCCACCCCAAAAGAGCTGGCTGCTTCTGAAGACAGCTGAGATGTCACTGACATTGTCTGATTTTCTGGTCCAGCCATGCTGCGAGGTAAAGGAGACCCACATCAGCCATTTGCCATTGGTAAATAGTTGCTTCCACGGCAAAGCAGCTTGCCCGTGTCACATGACAGTTAACATGAGCGGGTTCATTTGTTTTTGATATGGATTCTCCCTGTGCTGCCCAGGCAGGCTCCTACTCAGTCAGGCTCAAGCAATCCTCTCACCTCATCCTCTCAAGTAGCTGGCATTACACTGTGGGCCACCAGGCCTAGCTGTCATTTACTTTTGCTGATAAGGAAGTAGACATGCATGAAACATCGTGTCATTCCGCACTGCCTTGAACCCCAAGATTCTGTGTGGCTTGCAAGAACATGAGAAATTTTCATGGGTGGATCACAGTATTTGGAATACCTCAAATTTATTTTTATCCAGCATTGAAATAAAACAGTGAATAAGCTGCATTAAAATTAACCTTAGACTGAGAGTGGTGGACACATCCGTAATCCCAGCACTCAGGAGTCTGAGACAAGAGGATTATGAACTAGAAGCCAACCTGGGCTATAGAATGAGTTTGAGATGAGCCCAAGCTACCTGGCAAGACCCTGTTTCAAAACTACCCAGCCAAGTGACCCCAAATTCTTTGTCATTACATTCTGGAACATTTGCAAGGCTGTACTGTGAGCTTTTAAAAAACTAATCATGGGAATTGATTTTTCAGGTGACTTTAACCCAACGTTTTGATAGTTTGCATTAATAATTCATTTTTAAAATTTCAGTCAGAATAAAAATTTTAGTTAATTGATTTGTCACTAAGGGAAGTAAAATAAGTAAAACTAATATTAATTTTACTTATCAATTTAGCTACAAATTTCCTGAATTCTTTGCATGACCTGAACAGGATGTTTTTTTTTTTTTTTTTTGTTTTGTTTTTTTCTGATACCGGGAATGGAACTCACGACCTTGCGCTTGCCAGGCAGGTGCTGTGCCGCTGAGCTCAATCCCCAGCCCTGATGTTTTTTGACTTACTGGTGAGCTTTAAGCACTCATGAATCTTTATGGTCACTTTCAGCATGGAAAACTTGCTAAGCCTCACGGTGATATTTGCTTAGGGTTTAACACCATTCCTATTCCTGCTGAGAGCTCTACCACTAAGCTCAACAATCCAACCACATTACCTCCTTGATCCTGGCTTATGCCTATGGGGAAAAAAAAGGGAGGGAAAAGCAAAGAGAAGTAACCAGGGGGCAAAATCAAGTCATTTCATTCCTAGCATTTTGCTCTAAGAAGGGAAGAATACATAGGTGTGTTTACATATGTGAGGATGTTGAATGTAGGATACCCACATTAATTCAAAAATTGGAAGGAGCTTAGATATTTGACAGTGATAAATTATTAAATAAATTACATAATATATGTATACAACTGATTATAGTAACATCTATAAGATCACAAACATTTAAAATAAGCAGAAGAAACATAATTTTAAAATTGTAGCTTTATAGTTTATATGCCATATAATATAGATAGATGTTTGAAAAAAGGGTGTTGAACTGCAGATGCTTTAAGAAGAAGAATCTATCTTTTTTTTTCATTTTAAGAGGTCTTAATACAATAAAACCTTTTTAATACTATGAAGTTTTTAGAATATGTTCAGAATAGGGGGCTGGGGATTTAGCTCAGTGGCACAGCGCTTGTCTGGCAAGCGTGAGGTTGTGAGTTCAATTCCCGGTATCAGAAAAAAAATTAAAAAAAAAATAGAATATGTTCAGAAGAGCAAGACTGGGGATGTAGTCAAGTGGTAAAGCACTTGGTTATAGAGTAAAAGTGTTGGGTTTGAACCCTAGCACTGTGAAATAAATAACAAGAGCAGATTTTATATTTTTGTCTCTCATAATATTCAAGGAAACTCTGTACTTTAGGTCAAAATCTACTCAGGAGAAAATTTTACAGCTTCCCATGAGCAGATATCAGCTGTTATATGCTAATAAGAAAGCAACAACTTAGAGAAAGGACCACAGAGAAGGGAAAGTATCCTGCTTGGATTTGAGATTTGTATGAGCGCAAATGTATGCCTGAGGGGGAAATCTGAAATGGAAAGGGAGGTGCTGTGTTGACTGCAGTGGGTATTTTCTGGCAGGGACTCCTTAAGAATCTGATCAGAGAACTCTAGGAAACCTCCAAGACACACACACACACACACACACACACACACACATGGAATTAACACTTCATATACAATTCAGATGATTCCTTCACTACCTCTGTGGATCCCCTAAGGGACTCTTAAAATACAGAGTAAAAACTTCTCAATGACAAACTGGTATTGGCACAAAAGTCATTCTATGAATTTCTTTGCCTGATGGCGAAAATAAAGGACGGCTTCACAGTAAAGTTGGAAAAAGTCACTCCTGGACACTGGGAAATGGCAGGCCTCAGATGCCACCAGGCTGCCACACTGAGCCACAGCTTCCAGAAAATTGGGCACAAAACGGGGTCCCAGATGCCAGCAAGCACGCATTTGCACTCGCATGTGATATCTCAACCTTGCAATTCTTTTGTCTTTGCAGTCCGCTGTTGTGGATTGAAGAGAAAGGACCTGGCATGAAACGCAACAGATATTTAAGCTTCCATTTCAAATCTGGGTCCCTAGAGAATATCCCAAATGTGGGCATCAATAAGAACATTTTCCTGAAAGACCAAAATATATTTGTCCAGAAACTCTTGGGCCAGGTCTCTGAGAAGGAGCTGGCTGCTGAAAAGAAGCGCATCCTGCACTGCCTGACACTGGCAGAAGAAATCCAGAAGATCTGCCACCCGAAGAAGTAAGAGGAGGAAGCGGCATGGTGCCTCCCAGAGGGGAACGGAGTGTGGGTTTCATCGGGCGTTGACCTTTAATTCTGTTCTTCCAATTAAACACATTGGGTACACAGGACTTGCTTGCTGTTAAGAGCTGTGTTGGGTGTGGTATTGTGGGCTGAGCTTGTACAGTGGGGGTGAGGAAGGAACTTACCTTGGTGGAGATGAGCTAAGTGCTTTCTGTGCCTGATTTCTTCTCAGCAGCCATAGCAGATGGGGATGACCACTCCCATTTCTTTTGATGTACTGGAAAACCTTGTTTGAAGTCATTCAGGCAGTAAATAGAAGTGGACTTTTAAGACTACCCATGTTCTGAACCCTCACAATACTGCTTTGGAGTCTCTTCCCCACTTTAAAGAATGTTACTGTCTTCCACAAACATTCACTGGATAACTAATGGCTGGGAAGATGACACGACTGCCCCAAGTAACACACCATGTCAAAAGGGAACCAGCCACACACTGGGGGAGGCCAGGGGAAGCTGTTCCCCAGCAGAGGGCTGGCATGAGCGCTAAGTTGCAAGCAGGAAGCAGCCTGGAGAGTGTCTTGGAAATAGAGTTTCTAAAACATGGAGTCTTTTTTAATATTTTTTTTTTATTTATTTTTTCCGGCACCGGGAATCGAACTCACGACCTTGCGCTTGCCAGGCAGGCGCTGTGCCGCTGAGCTAAATCCCCAGCCCCTAGAACATGGAGTCTTGAGACGAGAATTCTAGAGAGCAAGTCCAATTGTGAGGGAAACCTCAGGAATGGATACAAGAGCTGGGGTGTGACTTACCAGGTAGTGCAAGGGCTCTGAAGATTGGCAGTTAATAGAGGAGGGGCATGGTCACCTTTGTGGGTGAGGGAAAGCACTCCGAAAGCTGCTGGGCACAGGTGAGACCTCAGACAAGGAGGAGGCAGCCAGCTAAGGGACACGAGTGTGCCTCCCCTGCCGAGACTGAGCTGAGTGTCAGTGGCTGCTGAGTGTCAGGTAGCTTTCTCTCATTTCTCCTGCATTTTCTTCAAATCCTGTGCTAGATTTCTTGCTGCTATACATACCCCTCATGGATTTGCTTATTTCCCATTTGCTATTATGACACTGGACCATTTCAGAAGCTGTGAGGTCAATGTTGGAAGATAATTCTATTTATGATTGCTGGTTCTTTAATTCTCTCACCATGGTACTTCAAGGTAAAAGTGGAAAGCCTATTAATTTAAAACCTAAAAAAAGTTTTTAAAGTTACTGTCTTATTTGCCATGCAAAATAGTTTGTAATAAATATGGGTCAGCTGGGTTCCTTTTTGTATTGCCCCCGTGACGTGTGCCATGGGGTGAGGGAATAGTGTGTGTGTGTTTGTGCACACACACGCACTCGTGCTGTGGCAGCTAGAAGGAGGTTAATACTGAACATAATTACTCAACTGCAGCAAATCCCCTCTCCTATTTCGGTTTAAAACTCTGCTGTTTCAAAAGCAGAGTGGTCTTATTTGATATTTGGAGAGGGAGTAGGTATCATAGAAAACCATCACTCGTTAAAGTATTGAAAACATTTACTTTATTGCAATAGAGATCTCAGTAAGTAAGAGACCTCAATAAGGAACCAGCCAGCATTTTATCCCCTAAAGCAAGACAGTGGATGGAACATTATTAAAAGGAAGTATGAGACTTCTGGGAAGATGGCAGAATGGTAAGCAGTAACAAATCAATCTCTCCAGGATTCAGAATCCAGGATGGAAATCCAGTAACAATTCCCATTGTTATTGGAAAATAAAAAGTTGAGGAAGAAAAAGAGGGAGGTGGATCCCTGGGATCCAGGAAGAATCTGAAGGGAAAATTGGAGCCCATAGCGAAAGTGAAGAGACAGCCCACAATACAGAAAACGGAAGGGGCAATCTGCACTTGCTTCCTGGCTCATGGTATGAGAAAGGAAGATTGAATCTACAGAGACACAGTGAAAGTGGGTGACTCCAGAGGCCTCCGGGGAGAAACACACCAGTGAAGTGAATGTTGTGTGCTGCAGCAGCTCGTGAGCACTCCAGTCCAACCCACTGCTGTGTCCCCTGGAGAGGGTGGTTGGTCAGATGCTACTTTAGGGAAAGGCCAACTGAACCAGGGACTCAGCAGCTATGGTTTGGCTTCATTTTAGGGCTCCCAGTGTTAAAAACCCACAGTGGGTGAGGGACAACACGGAAGATACCCAGGGTCAAGGAGCTGTGGTCAGGCAAGAAACATCCAGTCTGATAAGCTAAATGACCCAGGCCCCAACCCAGTGACCAGAGGCCAGGATCAGCCCGAACGTCTGTGGATTTGAAAGTACTAACAGTGGATTCCCATCCCAATCCTGCTGCAGGCTTACTGGGAGTATCTAGCATCCCACCCTAATCCAACCACAGGCTTGCTGGGATTATCCAGCATGCATCTGAGCTCTTCTTCTGAACTGTCTTCTTCACCAGTTTCCCAAGGTTTGAGTAATCTTCCTTCAGCCTTGCTTCGAATCTCTTTCTCTTTTTGTTTATTTGAAAAAAGTAAAAGTGAAGAATAAGGGAAAAACTGGCTCTGTAGAGCAAGTTTGGGCTGAGGAAAGGAGGAAAAAGCAAGATAAAAGTATTCACTTGTGAAAGCAAGGTGGGCTATCACGAGGAATGCCACGATAGCCTCTTTTTTTTCTTCTTTTCTTTCTCTATTTTTTTCCTCTTATCCCTTTTATATTTTCTCCTTTAGGGTAGAATTGCTCTGTCGAGTGGATATTTGCTTTTCTGATTTGTCTTAGATTTTGTTATATAATTATAAATTTTGTAGCTATGGTTAAAGGTGATAAACTAATAGCACAGTTTGTCATTTTCCAGATGCCATTGTTTTTTGTTGTTGTTGTTGTTGTTGTTGTTTTGTTTTTTCAGTACTGGGAATCAAACTCACGACCTTGCACTTGCCAGGCAGGTGCTGTGCCGCTGAGCTAAATCCCTAGTCCCTGGATGCCATTGTTATTACTGATTGTACTACTTTAGCCAAGGTGACATAGTTGTGAGCAATTGCTTTCCTTGTATGCCAATACCTAGATTGTCTGTGTGTCATACACAGTACTGTAGTTTAGTACCAAAGAACTGGGTGCTAGGCCAAATAGGCAGCAAATTTTCATCCCTAATAAATTGAAAAGGCAGAATTCTGGGGCAGACTCGAAAGTAAAAAAACAGTTTCACCTAAAAAAATCTCTGAAAAGTAGTCATTTCCTAAAGAGGTATCAATACTAGTAATAAAGCTCCTTACCATAAGCAGTTTATAAGCCTCAACACAAAACAAATAAAAATTCATCCAATTAGGAATGAAAAGGGCAAAATCACAATAGACCCTGGAGAAATACAGACCAATACTTGCTTTGAGAAACTATACTCCAATAAGATGGAAAACTCAAGAAATGGACAGATTCATAGATACATATGAATTACCAAAGCTAAATCAAGATTTAAAAACCCTAAATACTCAATACCAGTCAATGAAATTGAAGAAGTAATAATAATAAAAAAACTAACAACAAGGAAAAGCCCAGGTCCTGATAGATTCACTGTTCAATTCTACGAGAAATTTAGAGAAGATAGCACACAACTACTCCTCAAACTCTTTGATGAAATTAAACGGAAGCAATACTTCCAAAGTCAAGCCTGGAAGCAAGTATTACTCTGATACCAAAACCTGAGAAGAATCTAATCCAAAAACAGCACTGCAGGCTACTCTCCTTAATAAACACAGATGCAGAAATCCTCAATAAGACATACTGGCAAATAGTGCAGCAAATCATCCAGAATATTATACACCATGACCAAGTAGGAATCATCCCAGGGATGCAGGGATGGTTCAACATATGCAAATCAATAAATGTAATGCACCACACTAGCAGAACCAAGGACAAAAACCACATGATCATCTTAATAAATTAACAAAAAAGCACTTAACAGAGTCCAACATTCATTCATGATAGAAAACCCTACAGAAAATTGGAATAGATGGTCTTCATCTCAAATTAAAGCCATTTATGACAAACCAACTGACATCATAGTAAATGGCCCCAAACTGAAACCTTTCACTGTAAAGTCAGGAATATGACAAGGATGCCCTTTATCACTAGACCTACTCAATATAGTTCTGGAAGCATTAGCCAGAGCAATTACACAAGAGAAGAAATAAAAGGAATAAATATATGAAAGGAAGAAGTTAAGTTATTATTATTTGCAGATGACAAGATACTCTACATAGAAGACCCCCAAAACCCACCAAAAGACTCCTAGATTTAATAACAAAATGCAGTAATGTAGCAGGATACAAACCCAACACTCAAAAGTCAGCAGCATTCTTACACAAACAACAAACTCATTAGAGAGAAACAAGTTTCACATTAACACTGAAAAAATAAAATACTTAGGAATCAGTTTAACTAGGAAGTAAAATAACTTTACATTGAAAACTATGGTACTCTGAAAAAGGAGATTAAAGAGGATATCAGAAAATGGAAAGATATCCCTTGTTCTTGGATAAGCAAAATCAATATAGTGAAAATGGCCTTACTCCCAAAACTATTACACAGATTTAATGCAATCCCAATCAAAATACCACCAGCATACTTCACAGAACTAGAAAAAACACACCTAAAACTCATTGGGAACCAGGAAGACTTAGAATAGCAAAAGTAATTCTGGCAACAAAGGAAAGGCCGGGGGGGATCACAGTCTCTGACTAGAAATTATACTACAAAGCTACCATGATAAAAACAGCATGACACTGGCATGTGCCATGGATCAGTGGCACAGAATAAAAGATGAAGAAACAACTCCAAATGCATTTAGTCACCCTATCTTTGAAAAAGGGATAAACATAGTCACCTGGGGATAGCTGGACACCGCCTCCAGCTTCTGGGCCAGTCCTGGAGGGTGGTTCTAATGTAGCTCTTTCCAGCCTCACAGTCGCGCTGTTACATCCTGTCATTGCAGCTGGGCCGCCATCAGGCTCAGCCAGCTGTACCCTCCAGATCACAAAGAGCACAGCCACTGCCGTGCACTGCAGGAAGTGTTGTCTGGCTCCAGGCAGGCAGAGGCCAGAGAAGCTT